GCTGGATAGTGGACACTTGACCTGCATGTTTATCACGCTCCAACCACGCTCACGTTCCGGGCTTAGCAATGTTTGTAGAGAAACTAACTGAGTAAATGTCATCGATTCATTTATGGAGAAGAAAATAACAGTAATTTAGAAAATTTAACTACGAAGGGCTTTTAAAGATAACAAAAGTATACTATATAGTGCAATCCAATTAAAATAGAAGTCTATTAAGTCAACCTGTAAATTGTTTTGGTAAGTGATATCGAGAAGAGCATAACGTTGTAATGAGACGAAAAGAGTAAAAATTACAAGTACTTTGTATAGACATGAACCCATTAACAGAGGAAAAGAAACATTTCTACTGGAGATATTGAGTGTATTATAAATCTTTATCTTATTGATCTTGAGCAGTTGAGTATGTTGAACTCAACAGATGACCTTTTTCAATGAGACGTAGGTCCATATCAAAACTACGGAAATATAAAAACAAGTAACTTTATCGTTAATTTAAAAGAATCCAGTGTTAAAATTCAGATTTATCTGTAACTGGCCTTTAACAATAATAGCTACTGTTATCATGGTGCGCGTGAGTTTGACGTGCGTGATCATACTCGATCATTCTTCTTTACACAAACAAAAGATTAACTCAGTTCCGAGGCAATGCTGTGGGACTAGGTTTATGAAGATAACTTAAAATATTGTTTAGGAGATTTTATAGGAAATTAAAATAATTAAAGTTTGACTTGTTGGCGCCACTAGAGGGGGATTTTTTTTTAAGGGGGGAAAATCATCGATTGTCTGCTACCGCCTGGGTGAGGCGGGAGGGAGTGTCAGACTCTTACTGACTAAAAAAGTAAAAACCACCCCGTTCCTTCTCCTGCACGTCGAGTCGGTTACCCGTTAGGTTCTCCGCGACACTAGAGGGGGATAAAGTATTGTCAATATTTTCGTTGTCAGCTTTTTCTGGATAAGCACTTACTTGCCTAATACTTAATGGGTATACAGTTAGAAAAGCACATGATATAGAAATTCTTGTTTGGGATAGTGATTTTATGCAACTTGAAGAACTTACGCAACCATTGGATGAAAATGAACTGACTGTGGCAGCTGCAAAAATATACTCCAAGAACTCTTAGAATACTTAAGCAGATAAATAGAATCAAGATACGGGACAGCCAACATCCACACTCAAATAGAGTAGCGTAGGCTTAAATGGAATTGATAATATAATAGTCCCCTCGTACAAGACCAGTAGATATTATGCAAAATTCAATGGCAGACAGTTTCTCCAAGACTTATTGTCTGGCGTATTACGATACATACTATGAAAGACAACTGATCAAAAGGTTTAAGACCTTAACTTGTCTAAAATAGGGTTAAAAACGGCTTGTCGTTTATAGCAGTTTGTTTAGGCTTGAAATTGAATAGTACATTCGCCTACGTTCGAGCTCATTTTGAAAATCTCTTGTGTCCATGTTTTGTTCGTCTACGTTAGGGAGACGGGGGATGTACACGTCCATTTTCATTTTAATCTTTACCTTCTAAGTCACAAGGATGATTCTCTCTTGCTTTTTCAACTGCTGTTAGGACGTTATCGATGTAAAAGGTTTTAAGAGAGTACAAAGGTTTGTATTTATTAAAAAAAAATGAAATACTAGTTTTGCGTCGCGAATCGATGAGTGACAAGTTTGGTATGCTACGGTTATCAGACATAGTTCACTAGATAACAGGTAGGTAAGTACATAGACGAATAGGTTTTGTTTGTAAAAACTATTTAGGTAACGCAAAATAAGTTACGTAATACCTGTAGGTATTATTTGTTATTTAATTTCGACGTTGTTTGAAGATTAAATAGTATTTTAACGTTACGGGGTATTATGTAGTCGTGATTACTAAGGGAATTCTGGTTATTATTTTAAATTGAAAATATTCGAGTATTGATATGTACATAATTGCAAATTTTAATTCTCAATATTTAACCACATTTTTGACAATTTACATGTATATTGTATAAGTTTATAATTTCTTTTAAAAATGATATTGAATATTATAATACGCATTTGATAATGCAATTATCAACGAGATTAGATAATCTTTCAAATGATACAGGAAAGCGAATTGAGTCATACACTTTCATACATATCCTGCCAGTTAAGTTAATGTTTACATCGACGCCATATTTGGCTGCAAAAGCTCATATCTGTTTAATATTTACACAAGGATTCTAATTTTAAATTAATCATATATCACTTCGGCGGGGCACGCATCTGACCGGAAGTGGCGTATGCGCAGCTGAGGGACCATTTCCGCCGTCCATTACTGTCGCACTAGGTAAGACTATTAAATGAAGCGGCACGAGCATTGTTTCGACCTCTTCCTTTGGTAATATACAATACAATACTTTAATGGGGTCATTGAACAGAGATTTAGTACTTATGGACTGTAATTATATTCAAAAGTTGGCCGGAGAAAATATGTAAAGGCACTTCGATTGTTGATTTACCTGAAGTCGATGTCCTTTTCGGTTTAAGATGGCTATCGTTATAAGATGAAGATCGTGTTTAAACTGTCAAACACCAAGCGGTCACCGGTGACCGTAACCTATTGTTCTATAATTGTGTCTACAAGACCGGTACTCGACGAGTTAAGAGTGATATAAAATTTAGTACCTACAGACCTTTAATTTTTTTAAATATGTACCTACTGATAGATTTTATGGATTTACACAAATTACTTTTTTTGAGGACGCAAAATCATCCAATGACTTCATTAGTAAGGATTATAGCGATTTTCCATGACTTTTATAATAGCTAAAATTAGTATAACCATAATATGCTGTGAATGACATTAAGAAGTAGCAAACGAAGAGATGATTTCTTTCTTCTTCAGTTCCATAAAAAAAGTAAACAAATCGTGTGGCCAGCTTTAAATATTGCAAGTGAATATAATTTTAAATTTGGAATTGGCTGCAAGCCAGCATGACCTTGCATCGATTGGAATAGATGATGACTAAAAACTAAATTGCGTGCAAAAAACTGACGTCATTTTTATTTCAAAATAATTTCCTTGCAATAATATTTATTAAAGTATCGAAAAACATGATTTTATTGCCTGCCCAAATACCAATCTAGAAAGTGGGTGATGTGTTTTTCTTATATTTTGTATGTTTTCATTTTTCACCGCGTCTCAAAGGAATTAAAATACAGATTAAAAATAATGTAGGTATCAATGTTTATTAAAGGGATTGATTAATAAATTGATGGTTTTATAATGTGACAACATTGCACGCATATATCTTTTTCTAAAATAATTTATTTTATTTCATCAAATAGTTGTGTTAATTTTTCCCTCATAATGGTCATAATGTTTAATATGTACTTAAATTATTATGAACCTACATTGTTATGATATTTTGTTATGATTTCCCTAAAGTTACACGAACCATCTTTGATTAGGTATTAGTCAGCGTGTCCTATTGTTATGTGAACATAATAAATCAATTATTAATGTTATTTGCGTAGACTATTATCGAATAATGCGTCACATTTTATACGAAATATTGTTTCCCATAATACCTACTTACTTATAATTTAATTGGACTTGGTTATTTAATGTAATTTTGTCCCAAATAATACCTGCTTCCTATAGGTAAATATATATTTTATTTATATAATTACAATTTTCTTCTTTCTTGAATTGTGGATGAAGTGGATTTAGTAATAATAGCTGTGAATTATCCGAATATATATTATAAAAAATATTTAACAAGTAGATATTACAGAAGTATTGCAGAGTGCTAATGAACAAAATTAAATAACACCTAATACATTCTGCATCCTTCCATTATAGCAATCGTGCAGTGTATAACACAAAAAACACAAATTCAAATTGATTATCACTTCATTTTCATAAAAATTCTTTACATTACTTTACAAAAAAGTAATCTAATTATTAAATTCAATGAATCCTTGTCATTTTTTCAGGAAAGAAGTTGTAATAAGTCTATAATATACTTATTCACAAAGCTATGACACGTCTGATGACATAGCCGATTAGTTTCCCATAACACGTTATACTTTTCCGAGAAAATTGTCTCCGTAATATTGTCGCATGAATGGACACGCGTGATTCATTTGTTTGTTTGTATTTCATTTTATAGTAAAGTGTCTTTATATGGGTAGCGATAATTAGTACCTACGTATGACGTATTTATGACAAGTAGTGTCTATGGGACTAATTTTTATTGGACTAACGTAGCTGGACTTATATAAACTTATAACGGAGATGTCTATGACATAAGCAAAGTCTAGTCACAATACCGAAGGTATATGGTAGAAGGTCTAAGAAAGTGTTTATCCCCTTTGTGGATCGTGGAGAGACAGGGACTCTCACTTAGTTGGGAAAACTCGAGAAATTGAAGATAGAATTGGTTTAAGTATCTTTGTAAGATATTTAATTTTGTCTCTGTGTGTGTTGTGTCGTTGTACAGATGTTAATAAATAGTGATAAAGACTGTGAGTAATTTTCCAACTAAAATGTTTAGTGTCAGAGGGCTTTTCATGACTTTTCCATCTTTGTAACATCTCGTCATATTTTTACATTACGTGGGTATTGGGTTGTCGACATTTGTTTACCTGCATCAAACTTCTTGATAAAATTTTTAGTTATCTTTGTATAAAACTATGTCTTTACATTATACTGAAAGAATATTGGTTTCCGTGTAGGTAAGTGGTTTAAATCCGAATGTTGACAAGTGGTAAGGTACTTGCCTAGTCTGTTTATCAAAGATTACACTGATAACGACGTGTTTTGAGAATAAGATCAAAGTATCGCTAGTAGATACAAATGACGATAATATGATTCAGAAAAGATGAACAGCGAATATAGAATATAGTGTCAACCTTTGGAAGTTAATTGCTGTTAACGATCATTGCAATTAGCAGCAGGGCGTAATAAATAATCCTTAAGTACTCAAGAGTAAGAATCCATTTCAAATAAATAAGAACACTAACCTTATAGTTGAGGCCTTGGACATCTTCCTCCAACGATACGTCGGAGTACATGTCGTCAGCTGGTTCCCCGCCTGAACCGCAGCCCGACGAGTTGAATGACGACGACCGGTATAATTGGCTGAAACAATGACACTCCTCATTATTAATTTATTCGACTAGCATCAGTTACTCAAATTGTACTCATTGAATTAAGTACTTAAATTGCAATAAGTTTAGTTTGAAAACTTTTAATAGTACTGGTAACGACATCTAGTGCGGTATTGGAAATACTGACAACGCCATCTGTGTTTGTTACATGCAACTTCAAATGCTATGTGAGTGATTGGTAGTGCTGTATAAGCATGGTAGATGGCGCCATAGTCGGATGATTTTCTGTATTCTACTAGATGGCGTTAGTAGTATCTTAAACCGAATTTGTGTTATCTTATATAAAAAATTTAAAAAATGGTATAAGACAAAATTATATTAACATACCTAGCTAAGACATTGGAGCCAATTTGTCGCTTCCCAGAGCTGAAACAAATGAACATTAAAATTAATAAAAAAACTTTAACTACTTATAGCAGTTTTTCTTTGGGATTTTCTTAGAAGAGCAAAAAAATTAATGCCGCTGTAAACCAGTTATTAACGTATGAAAAAATGTGTTTTAATTGCTTTTGTTGCGAACATAGCTAATTATGGGCGTTAAAGTACTTAATTAAATTATTATCGTATATCTTTTTCTCATTAGTAGTTACTATACGTACGTAGGTATTCTAAGTACCTACTTATTAGTGTCACTACTTTGATACTAAGACGTTTATTATTAAAACATATAGGTACCAGGCCTCTTGAAACATTCATCTCTTGTATTAAAGGATGTTATTATTAATAATCGACCCTAGTTTGTAACACACCCATCTTTTAAAGCAAACGGATGTGTCGCCATGATTGAAATAACGGTCACAACTGTCAGTTCAGTTCTATCGTTCCTAATTTAAAATTTTTAACCTGTATAACTTATACTTATTTAATTTATTAAGTAGCGAGTTAGTAAGTCACATTGTAAGTATAGGTAATCAAGGTAAAAGTATGTAGGCAGTTCCATATCGTGGTACGACGCTTGCATAGTGAGCGTGGCTACATGATACATGGTAACAGAAGAACGAATAATTAGTTAATTAAGTTGGTTAGACGCATGTCCGCTATGTTAAAACGGTTTATGTTTTTCTAAACTTTTAAATACGTATTACCGTTTGGATTGGACTATGGATATCCTAGTATGAATTTGGGTTATCAAATGTAATAAAAGGTATAAGAAAGTGGAAATCTGTAATCTTAAGGAGAGTAAGTAACACACTGGCCATGAAACATCCAAAAGAAACGTGAAAAGCTTTCACGATAAAAATCTAACAGTAGCTTCACCAGATTTCTAGGTTCTAGCATTAAAAATGGATTGGTTGATCTCTTCTATTATAACCTTAAAAGATACAGAGTTAACGATACCATGAAAGTGAATATGGACAATGTTGATATTCCAGAAGTAATAAATTTACTGAATAAAGAAGAAACAGCCACCTGCGTGGCTCGGCATCGACATCGTGACAATAGCTGATAAATGCTAATGCTTTAACGAATACCACCGCAATTAAGTGGAGTGGACGCATGTCCGGAATTCTTACCGCAGTAGAAAGAAGGAAATAGTTTAAAATGTATGTGGGTAATGCTCACCAAGCAATTAGTTCACAATGATTACCACGACGTGTGCGTCTCTGCCACTATTACGTGAGCACCATTGTGAGATTTTTTGTTGATTACGTTTTGATGAAAAATGACTAATGTCTTTAATTGTGTCGTAGTGAGATAGTAATCTGTCATATTAGGTATATGTTTTACGTTACCCTACAAATATGCGAGTAATTAAATATAGATCTGCGTTTCATTTGAACTCTTCTTCTTCATTTAGACTATCGGATCATGTTTCCCCAGTCTTAACTCTTTTGCTTTAGCGGTTCTCGAGGATATGAATTTTCGGATGTTTAACTTTGGAGACAGTGCTACTAGCCATTGAGATCTTTAGCAAATTGATAATAGTACTTAGGCCGTCTTTCTTTGTTTCTCGACATCTGTTCAAGATTTGAGGACTATTAAGTTTTGCAGCATCCTACGTTAGCTAGCTACGCTTTTGTTAAAATAAAAGTATTCCTCCTGTTATTACTTTAGTCATTTCATTTTCTGCAATTCAACATATTTATTTAATAGACACTCTTGATTGGATCACTGTGGTTTATAAAAACTGCGCTGAATATTTCATCTATTGTTAACGTGTATGTCATTACTACTAGTTTTTGCATTGAATATGTGCGAGGTCAAATAAAATTATGATTTGCCTTATTATATTTTAAGGTTAGGTTTTTAGACTGCTTCTGTGGTCTTGTGGGCGTAAGTGCGACTAGAAGCCTAAAAGGTCGTCTTTTTCGTGGTTCTAGGTCCAACTAATGCGATTTTTTATTTTGCAAGCATAGCAAATATTTTTAATGGTACTATGATCCATGAGATACATGGATAATAATTTAATCTTACAGCAATGTAGCAACAAGCTCGACTTGTAAGAGGCCATGTCTATATAATCTACGAATCAGAAGCATTTATAATCGCAAGTTAACATGACTGACAATTTACATTGAACGTCTTAATCAAACCTTTTTATTAACGGTTTTAACTTGAGCTGACGTATTTCCGTTTCCTCTCAAGACACGTGCAGTTAGCACATAACGTTAATAATTTAATTACTCGGTTAGTTAATAGCTTTAGTTTTGCAGTTAAAATAATAGTTTTGAATGGTATATTGACCTTCTGTAACGCAGTTTGCATCATCTAGGTCACGCGTCGGCTCTAGTGCAAGCCAGTAGCAATTTTGGACAGTATTGTTTTGTAATGATAAGTATGATAGTCAATAATTATGAAAATTAGATTGCAACTGATGTTTTTGTTAATGGAGCAATGAAAGAATAAATTTTCCGGCATTTAGGTAGCATTGTCCACTAATTACATTCCAGTATCTTCAAGGTGTGTGTTCTACAGATTTATATATATATATATTTATAGTAAGCGGAAGACCAACCGAAACTTTGTACGAATTAGATATTACGCACTGGGGAAAGCGTTGTTGTAAACTAATAAGCCAATTACCTATGTTACTTACTTAACAACATAACATACATCATGTTTTGTTTCCAAAGGGTAAGCAAAGGTGTTAATTCTAAGCAGTAAACCCTTTTATCTACCGAAACAGATAAAAGTATCGTATTCAAGTAACAAAAACCTCTTCAAAATATAAGAAGTCCGGAAAGATACCAAAGAAGAAAAAGGAGTGTGTGACAGAACGATGTTTTGATAAAACATATAGGTAAGTAACTTAGGATAAAAACTGTAAGAAGAAGATATATCATGAATTTCTGAGCATAATCTTTTTAATAATTGATTGGCCGACAGGTGGCCACTATCTGGCCTAGTGGTAAGTGATGATGCGGCCTACGATGGAGCACGTCGTCCCATAAGCAACCTATTCACTCGGGCCTTGAAGACACCCAGGTTATATAATCTTATATATTATATCCGCGATATTAAAGTGCTTTAATACAATATAATCTAAATCCAACTTTCTAGGCATTAGGGGAGCATCAAGTAACATGCACCAGCTCACGATTACCATGGTTTGTCAAGTGTATCATAATGCAAGCGGCCAGGACGTCCGTGGGGAGTGCTGGAGAAATCAGTAGACAAATGAGACACGGGTGCGCGTACGCCGTGAAATTGTGTAAGAAAGTGACGACCGGCCTACCAACATACGGACTACTGTCCGTAATGATCTACAATTTGATACTGATATAGAAATACGTCTGTATTGCTGAATTGATACTACTTCTAATAAAAAAGTATATAGAAAACGGACAGGAATGGATTTTTTAAGGGGAAGAGAAGATCATCCAATGGTTACACCCGCACAGGGTGAGGAGAGAGGGAATGTCATGATATTATTACCGTGGTCAGACTCTTACTGACTAGAAACTACCCCGTTCTAACTCTTGCTTCAATCTGAAGCATCATCCGCAAGAAGGACTAGAGACGAAAATAATGAATTCTCTCTTATTTCAGGATTCAAAAGAGTTCTAACTTCTATTGTCATGCACCAGTCAAGGTTTTGGACACCGAATACACTATTTCGAAACAGTGATGGAGATGAGACCAATTAAAATTAACGACAGGAGGCAATTAGCAATTTGTTATACCTTTTTAGACATTTTTGGCCACCGTTCAACGTAAAGACATTTGAATTTGGTTATTGCATGTTTGTGACGAATTGACAGCAACGTCACGTCAAATTAAACAAAATGGCGCGTCTTAGGTACTAGGTACCTAGGATGCCTGTATACCTAATTAATCGTAGAATTGTTGTAAAGGTTGTATAACCACTGAACATAATCAATTGAGCACGCACTATTCATGTTTTCTTTAATTATCTTTTATTATGTAACAGTTAATTTTCGTGATTTAACGTAAATATACACTTTATATGTGTGTTTGTTAGTGCCATAAGTATGTGTGTATAACAAGTACTTATAACATATGTCAGTGAACTTAGCTGATCATTGTCCAGCAGATCAAAAATAAATGAGAGTTCTCATTGCATGCAGCTGAGTTCTATAGTTCCTGACACCTTTTAGAAATAGTTCCGGCGTTTTTACCTTAAAAAAAGACAATTAAAAAAATGATCTGCCAACTTCCGGCAGCAGATCAATTTCTAGCAGATCATAAATAAACGTCAGTTCTTACTACATATAAGTTAGTTCTACAGTTCCTGATAATTTTTAGAAATAGTTCTGGCGATTTAACCTTAAAAAATTCAATTGAAAAAAAAAATCCAGCATACCAATTTCAGCACTTCAAATGATATTGTAAAGGGCTACAACTGGCCCAATCCCTAGAATTCTTTTGTTTCTCACAGAGTCGTATCAGAACTACGATTTGAAACTCTAATCGAGTCCAGAACTCCCTTTAATGTGCCAGCAGAGCATGTCTGAAAGTGCAAAAAATCGAAATTTATCAATTTCAGCACTTCAAATGATATTGCACAGGGCTAGAACGGTTCCAATCCCTAGAACTCTCTAGTTTCTTACAGACTTAAATCAGACCTACAACCTAAAACTCTAATTGAGTCCAGAACTCACGTTAAAGTGCCAGCAGAGCATGCCTGAAAGTGCAAAAAATCGAAT